AAACCTTGTAACAGCATCATACGTCAGACACATGGTTTCACAACTCCACAAGTTAAGTAATGGAATCACAGTCCATTGTCATTATATGTTTTTTTAGCTTATATATACACTGTGTGGAAGTTAGGACAAAATTACTATGACTTCAGGCAATTATTTTAGGAAGATAAGACTGCTTTGAGTTCATATTATAATTAGATACAGTAGTGTACAGAAGCTAAGACAGACAGGAGAAAAGCTGGACACTGCCCCATACTCTGTAGCCCTTCACAGTGCAGGTTTTATAGTGCAATTTCTCAGAGTTATGTTGTTTGAGCCCTTGAAAATAAATGACAAATGTGATTGGAGTTTGTCTGTTTTGTTTTTTGTTTGGAGGGTGTGCTTTTTGGTACAGGGCATGTCTTTCATAAGCTCAATAAAGAATGAGCAACCCCCCACAGGCACCAGAAAGACACCAGGGAGGGCTTTTCTCAGCACAGAAGCACCCAGTGACCCATTGCCAAGACTTCACACAAGGATCCCTCCCTCTCCCCAATTTCTCTCATGGTACCTTCATTTATCAGAAAAGCTGTTTCAACTGACTGATCATTACAGTAATCAATACGTTCACCTATTACTTTTGTTCTGCTTCAGTGGGTCCCATTGAGTCCAAAGGCCCCCAAAATGAAACTGGGGGAATAGAGAAAGGAGCCATTATTTGATAGAACACTTCTTGAAAATGATTATCTGGTCTGATTGTGGCTGTGTGCGAGTGTGTGTGTGTGTGTGTGTGTCATCAGTGTAGCCTTTCTTCTAATGCTTGTTTCTCAGTAGACGACAAAAGCTATCTGACACAAAAGGAACCCTTTGTTATTGTAAGATACTCAGGTTGTCACACAATGGGATGGAATTCTTTGCTTGTACTTTAACGGAGAGCGGCACAGTCGATACATGGCGCTAACGATGTTGTTCTGCTTGGCCTATCGTAATTGAAAAGTAAGTGAGGCAGAACGCCGGACACTTCTCCTCTGCTCTGAATTTTCATTATTTTTGATTCAGATCAGCTTTGGGGACTGACTGTCTCAGTCAGTGTAACTGTGACAACGTTCCTTTGGGCTTGGGGATGCATCTTTTGAACGCAACAACCTAGAGTGCTTATAGTTGAAGATGCAGCAGGTTTATAATAAAAATGTGTTGACTTTTTATGTTTTGACAAACACCTACTTTATTGCACTTCATAAGTTGCCAATCTATATCTTTTTTTAATATACAGGAATAAATAAAACATTTTAACCCCTTAAAACCTTTTGGCCTGTTTGCCTGTTCTATACTGACCCAACATAAACCATCATAGTTTTCAACCTATATTTCATACATTCTAGGGATAATTTCTTGACAAATATTGACACTTTTCATATAGTATGACATGAGACAACAGCACTCCTTCATTCTCATACTGCTGACAAACATCTTTGGTAATCGCTGACAATGCTCTTTTGCAAGCTCCTCTGTGCCATTTGTAATGAGTCCATTTGAGGTCAGTGTGCAAACTAATCAAATTCTGTAATTTTTAACCAGAACCAGGAAGAAGTGATGTTCACCATACAACAGTTTGCCCACAATGTGAGTATTGCTGTTCATTATTACTGACGTGGTCACTTCTGACTAATATTAAACTATCTGTCTGAGCAGTCATATGACTTTTAAAGCATCCATTGAATCTATCATAACAGCAGACACAATATGTACAACCCCATTTCCAAAAAAGTTGGGATGCTGTGTAAAATGTAAATAAAAACAGGATGCAATGACTTATAAATCATATAAACCCACATTTAAATGAAAATAGAATAAAGACAACATCAAATGTTGAAACAGAAATTTTGTTGTTTTATAATATATGCTTGATTTGAATTTGATGCAAGTAACACATTTCAAAAAAGTTGGGACAGGGATAACAAAAGATTGTAAAAATTGTGTAATGTCAAAACAAAACAATTGATGGAATAATTATATGAACTAATTAGGGTAATCGACAACAGGTCAGTAAGATGACTGGGTATAAAAAAGCCTCCAAGAGAGAAATAGTATCTGTGCAGTGAATATTGCAAAGAATTTGGGAATTTCACCATCTATGTTACATAATATCATTAAAAGGTTCATAGAGTCTGGAGAAATCTCTGTACGCAAGGGACAATGGTGAAAAGCAGTATTGGATAGGCGTGATCTTTGGGCATTCAGGCGGTACTCTATTAAAAACAGACAAAATTCTATAGTGGAAATCACTGCATGGGCTGAAAACCACTGTCTGTGAACACAGTTTGTTGCAGCATCCACTAATGCAGAATGAAACTCTACCATGTAAAGAAGAAACCAGATCTAAACATGATCCAGAAATGCCACTGACTTCTCTGGGCCCAAGCTCATTTAAGCTGGACTGAGACAAAATGGAAAACTGCCTTGTGGTCTGATGAATCAAAATTTCCAGATTCTTTTTGGAAATCATGGGCCCCGCGTCCTCTAGGCTAAAGAGGAGAGGGACCATCCAGCTTGTTATCAGCAGACAGTACAAAAGCCAGCATCCGTGATGGTGTGGGGGTGCATTAGTGTCCATGGCTTGGGTAACTTGCACATTAGGGGTCAAATGACTACAGAAATATTTAACCAATAGACATAGCAGATCACGTACAACTTGAATACAGCTTTCAAACATTGATGTCATCACTCATTGAGACTTGGTATTATGCAGTGCAAAGTACAGGAAAGATTAAAGATTCAGTAATTGTATTATTAACTATTCCATCCATCTTCGAAGTTCGAACCACTTATCCTGGTCAGAGTCCTGGGCAGCATAGAGCCGAAGGTTGTGGTACACTGTGGGCAGCATGGCAGTCCATTACAAGACACTACGCGCAATTTAGAGATATCAGTTAGCCTAAATGCATGTTTGGACTATGTGAGGAAATGCTCACAACATGGGGAAAACACGGAAACTCCACACAGAAATAGTAGAGATGGAATGTAAACCTGTAGGCCTGAAGCCACTGTGGCACCTTATTTTTAATTACTATAAAAATGAAATATACCATGTATTCAAAATGTTTTGTCTTGTAAGTTAGGGTGCTTTTGCTCTGCACCAGGTATTGTATTTTTGGTACTTTTCCTTTAACTTTAACTTCCGATCAAGTACCTGTACCAAATGTTCCAGTGCTTAAAGTGCCAAATCAGCTGGGGTACTTTTTTGGTACTTCAGTACTTTGGAGTGGGACTTGAAATGCATTCTTTGTTGATTGGTTATGCAAATAGCCTGCCTCACAATACACACAATACAACAGCTGTCTTGAAAAAAGTTGCAAACTGCGAAAACAACGATAAATTAAATAAAAAATAAAAGTAGTAATAATGGATGGACAAATGAAGAGACCCAAGCATAAATTACAATGTGGCTGGAAGAACAGATAAAACAAGATCAGGATTGCATGACAAGAAATAACATATTTTGTATAATATACTCGGGCAGCATGGAATTGGGAAATGTTCATATATCGCAATGTGTTTTTGTTGTAATA